CCCCAAAACCCCAAAACCCCAAAACCCCAAAACCCCCTAAATCTCAAAAATTGTTCCACTTATAAAATTTCTATTCCAAAATGAACTTCAACATAAATTCCAAAATTCCTCTTCAGACTCGTACACAGATTGCCACTCAAAAAATAGCTGAAGCCAGAAGAAGCCAAGAGGGCCACTTGTGACTGGGATCTGGTAGGTTTTTGACTGGAAGGGCTGGGAGGGCTGTGTGGAAGGGGTGGAGAATGGGGGTTTGGGCAACCTGATTTGTACAGAAATTGAGGAGGATGGAAAGGAGGTAGAGAATAAGGGGTCGAAGAGTGCTGATGAGGGATATGAGCAAGAACAGAAGGAGATTGATGAGAAGGGTCAGTCGATCATTCATGAGGATGTGAAGGAGATGTCTTTTGAGACGAATATGGGGAATGAAGTGAAAAATGTGGGTTCTGGAACTGATAAAAGATCTGAGAAGATCCCTGAGGAATTAAGTAAGTTACTCTAAGCTAGGCTATCTTGCTCTATCTTTTGTGGTTAAATTTAAGGAATATTGAACTTTATCATGATCACCTTTGATCAACTGATTTTCTTTAAAACAGGTTATTTCACAAATACCTCCGATTTTTTTCTATGCTTACTATTAGGCATGCTAGATTCGAACTAAAATTTGTTTCTAGCTCTTAGAGGCCTTTATTTAGCTTGCCAGGTTATCAATGGGCTTATTGTTACTCAAAAATTTCAGTGAAATGTTACATCTCTGATCTTAAAATGCTAAAATATGGATAAAAATTGGTCTGAAATTTGTCATAAGGGAAATTTAAGCACTCCTTTGAACTCAAAAATTACTTACGAATAGCTAAAGCAATTATTTTCCTAGTACTAAATAGTAAGGGATTATCACACCTTAGCTTCATGAAGTAGGCCTCAAATGCTTTGGCTAAACCATCTAACCTAGCACATTTATAGCATAACTATTGATTATTCTGGCTAAAATTTTACTCTGGAATAACCTTTTCACCCATCCCATAACTTGCTTAGTATTATATGTAGGAGTGGACCAGGAGCAAATGAACTTGTACAACAACATATTTTCCACTATGCAAGAATATGACATGGCCAGCAGTATCTTTGGCCAGTGGTGTGAATTGAAAAGGGTAGTCGGGCCTTACATCGCCTCTAAATTTTGAACTGTCATGATTCCTAATGTGTCCAGCATCTGGATTAGCTCAAAAGGAATCAAAAATCTCCAGACTTTCTTATCTCAAGCATTTCCAAGAGAAATAATTTACTTGATAATCGAGCAAGTGATCGGACAGAAATCTCTAAGCTACTTATTGTCCCATATTTTGAGAATTAGCCCAAGGGTATTGATACAGGTATCTCTTCTGCACTGCAAGATTACTGAAAGGCATTTCAAGAGGCTCGTATCAGCTTTCAAGTACCTTACAAATATCAGTTTTGAGCAGTGTCAGATCTCTGCTCCAAGAGTTGCTAACTTATCACTTGCTCTTGAGAACACCGAGCTTGAATACTTAAGATTGATAAATTGCAGCATCTCTAGTCACAAAGATGTGACTGTTGACTACCAAGAACTGCAGAATCTTATAAAAGGGCTTGCCACGTCTCCAGACCTAAAAGAGAGTTTACTAGAAATCCATTTAGGTAATATGCCGATTGAGGAAGAATTTATCAGACGTCTACTTGAGGATAATGGGTTCACAGAGGTAAAACTTGTAATCTTTAAATAAAATACAATTGTGTCATTCAACTTCAACCAAGTCTATCCAGCTTGGGGTTTTGGGGTTTTGGGGTTTTGGGGTTTTGGGGTTTTGGGG